GTGGTCCTGGGGGCAGGCCCCCACCTCAGCGCCCACCTCCCCTTCCCCAGGGCTTTCCCCCAGCATCTTGGCATCTCTCCTCCGCGCCTGCTGGCCCAGCACCCGCTGGGGGCTCTTGCAGCTCTCGCCCACCTCGTAGACGCAGCAGAGCCGGGCCATGTGGTGGAGGATGAGGCGCCTGGCCCAGGGAGGGACGGGCCGGGCCCCTGGGCCACAGTGGTGGACGTTCATGATGAAGATGGTCAACGCGGTGGAGGCCGTGATCATGGTCATGGTGGCAATGTAGTACTTCCCTGTGGGCAACGGGGGGTGATGCCGAGGGCAGAGAGGGTAGAGACCTGTACCCCCACTGGTCCCACGGGAGGGTCCTGGGTGCTGCCCATCACCCTGGCACAGACACCCTGGTCCCACGGGAGGGTCCTGGGTGCTGCCCATCACCCTGGCACAGACACCCTGGTCCCACGGGAGGGTCCTGGGTGCTGCCCATCACCCTGGCACAGACACCCTGGTCCCACGGGAGGGTCCTGGGTGCTGCCCATCACCCTGGCACAGACACCCTGGTCCCACGGGAGGGTCCTGGGTGCTGCCCATCACCCTGGCACAGACACCCTGGTCCCACGGGAGGGTCCTGGGTGCTGCCCATCACCCTGGCACAGACACCCTGGTCCCACGGGAGGGTCCTGGGTGCTGCCCATCACCCTGGCACAGACACCCTGGTCCCACGGGAGGGTCCTGGGTGCTGCCCATCACCCTGGCACAGACACCCTGGTCCCACGGGAGGGTCCTGGGTGCTGCCCATCACCCTGGCACAGACACCCTGGTCCCACGGGAGGGTCCTGGGTGCTGCCCATCACCCTGGCACAGACACCCTGGTCCCACGGGAGGGTCCTGGGTGCTGCCCATCACCCTGGCACAGACACCCTGGTCCCACGGGAGGGTCCTGGGTGCTGCCCATCACCCTGGCACAGACACCCTGGTCCCACGGGAGGGTCCTGGGTGCTGCCCATCACCCTGGCACAGACACCCTGGTCCCACGGGAGGGTCCTGGGTGCTGCCCATCACCCTGGCACAGACACCCTGGTCCCATGGGAGGGTCCTGGGTGCTGTCAAGGCTCACCGATGAGCGGGACGCTCTCCGAGGGTGGCATGCTTTCTGCAACCAGCAGCTGGAAGACGGTGAGGGCCAGCAGCACTGTCACCCCCAGTGAGACCTTCTCCCCTGAGTCGGCCGGCAGGTAGAAGCCAAGTGGTGCCAGGAAGGAGACCATGATGCAGGGCAGGAGCAGGTTGAAGATGTAGAAGGAGGCTCGGCGGCGGAGGAGCAGGGTGTAGGTGACGTCGGGGTAGGGCTC